TATGTTCCTGATATCTCTATATTCCTGGGATCTTCGACTTTATTCTCCCAGCTTTACACACTGACCTATTAGGTCCCCTTTACTGGATCCTCAAATCTTCCTCTAAAATCAGGTGAAAACTCCATGACACAACAATTCTTGCATTTTTCATGCCTATATAACCAGCCTTAAGCATTTGTCGCCAAGGTCTGAGGCCAATGAAAGTATCCTGGTCCCACTGGACTATGGCTGCAGCAGCCTCTCAGTGCTTGGATGACTGAACACAATAAAATGAACTCTAGGTAACCAATTCCCTCAGAGGCCCTTTTAAACCAGGATGTCAGAGACTTTTCTAAAATGATATGTTTATACTTTTCCACCCTGATTTCTGGAACAATGAGTTCTTGCTTTTTCTGAAATCTCATGGGTGCATCTATCTGTCCCTGCACACAGTACTTTGTTTCTATTTAATGGTATTATAGTCTTCAGTAACCATGTAGGTTTGGCCACAACAGTGCATTTTGGATCCAAATGAAAGCTTCTCATATTGTTCTGTTCCACATTTTGCTCACAATTCTAACAATAAATGTGGCTAAAAGCATCCAGGACTGCAGTGCCATAGCCTGAACATTGGGCTGCTTTGAAATTTCTTCTTCAATGTCAATCACTCAACTGTACTTAATCTACGACTCAAGATATTGGTAAAATGTAGACAAATTTTCTGCCAGTGTGTAACAAAAGTTACAACTAAGAGTTTGTTAAATTTCAGAAAGATTTTTGCCTTGGACTTTTGAAAAATGCTGGAACTGTTGAGACTTTGGGGAAGAAACTGTTGCTTTTATGATTGTATACAGGACAGTTATAACAATTGCCAATGGAACTCTTGCTCCTAACTAAAATCTGAACCTGGCCTTTATTGTCCTTATTCCTACAGGTATTTTAGTTTTCTGAGTTCTCACCAGAATTGCCTATTATGGTCTTCTTACAGCACTATAAGTTCTCTCTACTCTGTATCTTCAATCCTTTTCAACATCCCACAAACCAGTTTTAGTGGCCTCTAGTCCACAGCCCAGATACAGTCATCAAATTTACCCTACTTCTGATACCAATTTTCGGTGTTAGTCAGTTTTTCCATTCCTGGAACCTAATACCCAACACCTACAACTTAAAGAAAGAGAGATGGTGATTTGATTCATGGTTTCAATTGATTCAGTCCATAATCAGTGAGCTCCATGACAGAAAAGTCATGGGGAAAGAGCTTGGCAGAGGATCAATGCTCACCTCATGATGGCCAGGAAGTAGACAGAGAGACAGTGTAAGAGAAGAAGGGGAGAGGTACTAAATAAACCTTAAGGTGATGTGTACCTGGAAGTCTAGAAGCACCCAGAGGTCTACTTCACCAATCCTCTGGCTCGTTCCCAAAACAATCAAGCTGACCCAATCAAGCTTAAACATCATAGTCCTCTCAGCCTCACCTTCCTTTGGGAAGACAAATTAAGATCAGGAGGTCCTCAGTAGCCATTACTCCTAACATCAAACAAACCAGGTTCACCTTGCGTGTCTGCACAGTGTTGATAGCTGAAGATTCCTCCTATCTTCAACAGGATCTTGACATTTATTTTTATCAAAGGAAAGAAATTCCTTGAAAATATTGAAATGTCTTTTCCTTAAAAATGAAATTTGTTATTCATGTTGTTTCGATATAACTCTTCAGTGTCTTATAATATACACTGGGGTTGTATTGCAAGTGGTTCATTTACTTAGTATGTCTTTCATCTTTAATAATTACATTTTCCTCAATTTGCTTATTGTTGTTATATAATGTAATCATATTAGTCTGACCGGATCTGGTGAATTTTAGTTGACACATTTTATTTTCTACACTCAGTTTTTCTTCCAACACAATCGTGTTAATTGTGAATAGACAACAGGGTTTTTTTATTCTTTTCTTTTACTGTCTCACACTAGTGAGTCTCCAAAAGAAAACTAAGAAAAGTAAATATTGATACTAAAATCCTTTCTCACTTTTAACCTCAAGGGTAAATGTTTACTATGTTAGTACCAAAAATGAAGTTAGTTATGGTTTTTCTGTAGTTACTTTTTATCACATCATGAAAGATTTGCCTACTGTGAGATATTTAAGAAGCCTCATTCTTTCTTAAAAATGAAGTATTACAATTTTTCAAATATATTTATGACCTCAATGCAATAATTTCATAAGTAATCTTTTTCTTTTCTGTCACCATGATATTAATTGTATTGTTTGATTTATTTTAAAATAAGTTATTTCTTTTCAGGAATAAATAAACATTGAAACATATTTTATTCTTATTTACCATTGGATTCTGTTTGGTGATATTTTATATATAATTTTCCTGTGTGTTCATGATCAGTGTTAGCCTGTATGTTTCCTGTCTTGTAACAAACTTTTTCAGATTGTTGTTTCAAAGTTTGTATAGCTCCAATATGTGCTCACCCATGTTTATAATGGCACAGTTTATAATAGCTGAATCTTGAAAACAACCCAAATGCCCATCAACCAATGAATGAATAAAAAAGATGTGTCTTTTAATAGTGGATACAATCCTGCTGTAAAGAAGGGTAAAATGGAGACATTTCTAGGTAAATGGATCCACCTAGAGGGCATACTCTTAAGTGAAATAAATCAAACAAATATTGTAAATATCACATTGCCTCACTGATGTGAGAAACTGAAAGTATAAATAAGGACCAAAATATATACTAAATATAGTGAGATGGAGAGAAATTGTTTGAAATTGTACTGAAAGAGAGATACTTTGTTATTAATTAAAATGTTCTATGCAAAAAAAGCTTAGTTTTATTAAGAAATGAGTTGATAGGGCTGGGGATTTAGCTCAGCGGTTCAGTGGCCTGCCTCACAAGTGCAAGGACCCGAGTTCGATACCCGGTACCAAATAAATAAATAAATAAATAAATGAGTTGATAGATTAGAAATTGAAAATACATTAAGATCATGATACACAGTGTATTTATCATTATTATTCTCTAATTATCTTTGAAATTTTTCCATAGAAGTGTTTTAATATTTTCTTTATTAATATCTACTTGTATTCCATTAAGTTTTTTAAACAAAGTTAGTATAATTCTAAGAAATGAGTACTCAGGAGTTTTCCTTTCACATGGTGTTGAAGAGGTTGTGTAAGACTGGTATTTTGCCTTAAATAACTGTTGGAAGAATTCACCATAAATTCAGTTGTATTTAGAACTTTACTGCTGTTTCTTAAGTACTTTTTTTCCTTTATACATTTAATTTGTATAGTAAATACACAGTTCTGATGTACAGCTTCTTTTGTACCAGCTTTTTTAGTTGTTTTCATATAATAGTTCTATTACAAAATTAAAATTTTATTTTGCAGTACATACCTAGTATCTCCTTTCAATAATTTTAATCATGGGAATATTTCTTGATATATGCTATATTTTTATAAATTAAAATTAGTTTTCCAGTGAGCAATTTAGTAAAATGTTTTAAGAAAGTAAAATATTACTCTGAAAAAATGTCTACCCTTGCATTCCTGAGTACTTGTGTCACAGTATAGCTCATATACAGGCATGCACACATTTTCTCTTTAAAATATATCATTCATGTTTTCCTTCTATGTATAAACAGCAGCAGTAGAGGTTCATGTACTTCGCCTTCTCATTTGCTGACTTCATGTGGAGTTCTCAGTACATGGACATATTATAAAGATCACCCCCCACTGCAAGTTGGATGACACTGTAATGGTTGACAAGCCCTCATCATTCAATCCAGTTCCACAGTGACAGCTGTCTGCTGCTTCCTGTCTTTGAAATCATAAGAAATGCTGGAGTACACATTATGAATATTGGACGTTTTCTCACATAAGTGAATGTAGCTACAGGATTCATTTTGGAAAAACAACATCAAAACAAAATGTATACATTTTTTTCATTTTATTGACACATTATTCACAACAATTCTTACTTGAAAGTCATGCCCCTTGGTAGTGTGTGAGAGCCTTGATACCTAGAGTCTCAACTTTATGCTATCAAATATGAAATTTTGCCATTTGGGTGAAATTATTATTTTAAAGCAGTTTGGCTGAATAGTTCTCAAATACAAAGAGGTTCAAAATTCAATCTAATGTGTTTTCAGACTAGAGGTGATCAAATGTTTTTCTCTGTTTTTTTGTCTTAATCTCTTCTTCCTTCAGAAAGGCCTGCTCCTGTGGGTCCTAATAGGTGCTTCTGCCACAGGAAGTTGAGTGACCTACAGCTTGGTCACTTTGCCATATTTCTTCTGTTCTTTTTTTCTAATTTAAATAACCCGGATTATTTTGAGGTAGGAAACACTCTCTTGAGTGTATTTCCTAGCATGTACTTGTGACAACATCTTATCTTTTGCCAATAAAAATATCATAAATATTTCACTGAAATTTATGACACTAACTTGCTTTCCCAATTTCTTAGTTGCTTTTCTCATTGCTGAGACAAAATACTTGACACTCAAGTTTAAAAAAAAATAGTTTATTGTAGCGCAGAGTTTGTAGAGATTTCAGTCCATAGTTGGCTAGCCCCAGTGCAGAGCGGCAGAGGGGCATCGCAGAGGAGGGAACAGCAGCAAGTTGAGCAAGTTGCAAAGTATCGAAGTAGCAAATGACAAGCCACCCTTTTTCTCCCTGATATTCTATCCAGGGTACCCATCCTTAGAGTGGATAGTACTCACACGCAGGTTGAGGCAACCTTAATCCTAGCATCACTCTGAGTCAATCTCAGCATCACATACTCTTGAGCCCCACGTATGACTGCGTGAGGCTTTGGGGAGACATCTAGACACAAGCCATAATATACAATATACATGTTGTTCTTCCTCTAGATTTTTCTTTTTTTTTTTCTTAGTATTAAAGAAGAATAGGAATTAATAACTGTACAATCATGAAAATGACACAACAAAGCAATGATGAAAATGAATTCTAGAAAAAATAATTTTTTCAGCTTACTTAGATTCTCTGGGCGGGATCTCAACTGCCTAGTAAGTGACCTCTTTATACAGAATAACAAACTGAAAACCACCCCCTTGATGACCACTGTGAAAATATGCACTTCCAAAAGGCTTGGAAACGTCTCTAACAGTTGTGCTCTAAAATACACTTCTGGATGCATATTGAGACAAACTTCCCACAAACTGCTTCCAGCCAATTCCTAAATGAGTCAGGAAACAAAGAAGCCTGGAACTCCACACATAGCTAAATTGATCTCCTAGACATCTTATTTGCCACAGCCTGTGCTGCATGGGAACCTAGGACACTTCACCTGTCCCTCCTCCCTCTGTTCATCACTCAGAATCACACCTGGTGATTGTTCAGTCTCCTGGGTTCTCACAGGAGTTAGCTTTGCATTGGTGTGTGCTTTACAAGACCTCATATCAGCATTCTACACCACAAAGACACTTCCAGTTAATGCTGGACAAAATTTTTTCTGAGTAAAAAATATGGCTAAATGACAAAATTGCAGTTTTCTAAGGAGTCTGTATAGATGGCAGTTTCCCTAAATTCTCTGTCTGTGCCAACATTTAACCATGTGGACATCCCTGCTGATCAGCACAAAGGGGCTGAGAACTACATAACCAAGGTCTAGAAATATTTTTATATTTAGCATTGTAAAGTCAAGTGTCATGGTTGAGCCTCTGTAGAAGGATAAAATAAAATCTGCCCAATAAAAGAAAAGGAAACAGACCATGAGAATGAGAACACTTAGAGTAGCTCTGATTTCTGGGCTGGAGTTGTTTGCCAACCTAGAGCTGTGCAGGTAGAGGACACGCTTGTGATGATTATACAGATGCAAAGCCATGTACCCACTGCTCCAGCCCATCAGACTCTGGAAGATGATGTCCCGAAGAGTCATGAGAGAAAGGAAAATCCACCTGATTATTTGCCTAGATGACATCATGTAACAACACCCAATATGCATTCTAATAGCAGTGGTATTCACTGCTCTAATGTAGTGGAGCAAGTTGGAGCTTATCAGAAAATTCAAGATCCAAAGAAGGAGGAGACAGGACAGAACTTGACATTTTTTCTGTGGTTTGAGGGGGCATGGGGTATTCCGGGGACTGATTGTGATGGCCTGGACTATACTGAGAAAGCAGGTTGTGCAAAGGGAAAGGCCCCGGGCCACCCTCCCCAGAAAAATCACAATTTTACAAGAAACATTACCTAAGAAGTAATGAAAATTAAAAGGTGATCTTATGTGTGAGATTCCAGAAATCCAGAGTGTAATTACATTTGCGAATGCCAGTTGGATTACAATGAAGTCTGTGGGTTTTTTCCCAGTCTTCAAACCTGCAGTGTACACATGTTTCACAAACAAAAACAAATTCCCTGCAATTCCAGTTCCAGTAAAAGAAATGAACACTATTTTCCGGATAAAGTTCAAATCATCCTTTGAATTCATGGAGAGAAACAGGAACAAAAAATGAGCAACAGAAATAGTCAAGGAAAAATTGTTTCAGTTTGTGGCTTCTCCCTGGTTCTCGAAGATAAAAAGAACAGTGGTGATACTATAGTGTGTATGTATATGCAGTCCTGATGATACATTCTCCTCCTCTTTTTCTTCTGTACATTCTTTATCTGTGACTTCACAGATTCACAAGCTGCCACAACTATAAATCTACATCCCAGACCTTTATCTCCTACTTTATACTTTACCCACTTCATGCACTTCCTAAAGCACAGTCAAGTCCTCTGCTATTGCTGCACATCAGTTCCCTAACTCCACAGTCTATCCAGTTTGACTTTGCCATGAACACTGTCCCTCTCTCTTCAGCTCTCAGAACTTTGCAAGTTCCTCCCTCACCTGCTCTGAATGTTGGCTGGGACAGTCCACAGCTGCCACCACCTCTGGAGAATTATCCCTGCCCAATGTACCAGCCTCGCTCTGTTTGCAGGATAAATTCTCTTTTCTCTGAATTGTGGACAGGTAGTGACAGGGAAGGACAAGCAGCCCCAAGGCCTCATCTGTGGGTGCCTGTGTTGTGCAAATCTGTTCTCATAGATGGAGGTGGTTGTAACACTTTGTTAATGTGACAGTCTTTGCAGCCTAGCCTTTTTTTTTTTTCTTTCTTGCCGACACACATCTATTTATCCTGTCCTCTTCCTCTTCCTCTATGGCAAATCACATGAATACAAATTCTGTTTTCAAAATTTGCTTCTGGCCACCCCTGCCAAGGCCAATGTTATAGTGATGGTATCTCTTAACATTTTCTAACCTTTAAATTTCTTAATCTTTATCTCAAACTGTGACTGTTAACGGTATGTTTTTAAGTCATCTCTCCCTCTCTAGAAATTTCCATCCACTTTCTGCTTAAGTAACACTATAAAACGGAAATACTTATTAAAATCCAAGTCTTCTTATATCTTAATTGGCTTAAATTTGGTCCAAGTACGTTTGTAGATTGATCTGTGCAATGTTTATTTATTTAGCCTCCTTGCTTTCTTATAAAATTTGGACTGAATTGCTACGGTACATTACACTTTTGCAAAACAAATGAAACCTGGCACTTACCTTAGCCATAGGGATGTGCATGAAGTCCCTATGGGAATCTCTGTCTCCTGGGGCCACACACCACTTCACAGCTCAGCGCTGTACAACGTTCACAAACCAGCATGAACTCGTTTTCATACGAGGAGCATTCTCTGCCACCTTGCACTCTGCTGCCCTCTGCTGTTTCTCCCTTGTCTTTCACCACTTCACTGTGGAACGCAGGAAAGCCTCTTATTTTCCATCGAGTGTCTCCGTTATCTGGCTCTGTGCCTACAGAAAATAGCTTATCAAATAACTATAAGAGGCTTGGAGTTATGAGTGTAGATGTAAACTGTAATGTCATAAGTGAAGTTAGGGGACTTTGGGGAGGTGCCTTGTGAGTAGATTAGCTATTACTGTTTCTCCAAATACTAGATATCTTCAGAACTCAGCTGCATTCCTGTTCAATGACACATGAGCTACCAACTTCATTATCTCTTTCTGTGAGTGGGATTTTTATATCAGGTACTCTGAAGTTCCAATCCTGTCTTCCCAATTTCTAACTGAAGACTGCCTGACCTCCCTACAACCCAATTTACTCACCTGTAAACCCCGGGTAAGGCCATGTACTCCCTCGGTCTATGGTTAGGAAGAGCAAGTGAGGCTTCAGGCACTGCTTATGTCTGTGCCTGGCAACAACTAAGGAACAGCTGTTAAAAACATGGCTACTCTGATTTGTGCCCTGTCTCTACATCCTTTTCACAATCTGTCAGCAATTCTCTGAAAGAGAATATCACAATAAGCTTGAAGCAGGGTGTGAATGTAAAGGTACAGTGCAGAGTAAATTTTTAAAATATTAGAAATATTCATAAAGAGGCAGGAGTATCACAGAATGACACCAGGTGTAAGACACATAGTGCAAGTACAAATTCCCTCTATTATGAGGGGGAAATACACAGCCAGGCTAAAATGCCACAGAGGACCCCAGTTTCCTATGCCTCCTTGTCCCTTATAAAAGGGGAACGGTGTGCCAGGAATGCTGCCTAACAGGGCTCCCTCGTGGAGAAGTGAGAGAGAGGTTTCTAGATGACAGTGGGCAAATGACAGCTGTATTCTTCTTGTGTCCTGGCGCCTGCCTTTTCCACAAGCAACAGATGCTCAGACCTTTCTGTCCCCCACCTGGAAGCCCTGGCAGCTCCCCTTCCAAGAAGCCCCAATCCACAGAGCCAGGTGCACTCACCTGTGCAGTTTATGCAATCCAGCGCAGAGTGACAGTTCTGTTAGAACACTACCAGCTAGGCGCTGCTTATCCTTCTTTGTGTCCCAGGGCTATTAGCCAATTCTCATTGTAGTCAAGATATCAGTGTCATGAATCAGCTTCACCAGGGGAAAAGGGCTCCTTCTGTAGCACCTCCACCCCTGGGGAACCATCGTGCTGCTCTCCCCGCTGGTCCATAACATGCAGAGCCCAGAAACTTCCCGAGGCTAATTTCAATGAGTGTGCAATAATAAGCAGGAGGCAATGTAATTATGTGCAGGTAACTGAGGAGGTCCCTGTATTTTTTAATTCATCGTGTCCTCATTCCATCCTCCTCATTCACCATTGAATTCAGGAGCCAATTTAGAAGAAGTTGAAAATCAGAAGTGGTCACTCTTTGAAAAATTGTAGAGGACATTCTTCCTTGAAATTTAAAGGCCATGAAGTGCTAGAATTGGGGACTACCCTTGAGGAGTACGGTCTGAGGTAGGGCAGAAAGGAGACTTCAAAGAGCTAGTGTGGTGGATCTCTTTATCTAGCTGTGTGCATGATTCACTTGCTGCACCTCAATGAGGTCTTTGCTTATGATTTCTGAAATACTCGGTTTTATTCCTTTTTTTTTTTTT